TGTACGAGTTGCCAAGTAGACTTGGAGACGAGTTACGCTGCAGCAACGGCGGCGGAGTTGCACGTCCACGTCCCGGTGGAACCGAAAGCGGATCCCCGCCCCGAAGGCATCCGCGCCTACCAAGCCTATGCCAGCGGAGGAGTCAAAGAACACGACGCAATCTTGTTTGAAAAGGCTCGAGCCAGTAAAATGCCGAGTTCGCCAGATACGGATCTATGCACCGCGATGGAGGATCTTATGGTGATGGATGACGAGCAAGGAGGGGGCGGCGGTAAGGACCAGGCAGGAGAGAAGGGGGCGAAGGCGACTCCCCGACGGATGTCGGTGTCACTTCTGGACTTGTACGATGAGTGAGATTAGAATACCTTCACCAATGGGATAATTACTAGCCTTGCAGGAGAGGGTCTATTTCATTGCAGAGGTCTCAACCCTGTACACCGTGGACAATATCGAGTCGATAGTGTATAAGTGGCTTGTTTTGCTGCAATTGTCATATGCTTACCCGATGGAGGTGCTGCAGCAGCATCACCTGCACCAACGTTGTGGAAAATACAGCCGCTGTATACTTGGTTGAGTCCCTGCGTAACCACGGGTCTGATAGTCTGATACGAATAATACATGTCATTCGTGAATCATATGTCGTTGTTGATCTTGGGCCGCTAATCCCACGGCATTGTGATCATGTCTTTACTTGATGAGCTATGTACAGTACTTCATTCCTTGGTGGATGATCACCAAGCAACTTTCGCGACCACGCTGTGGGGAAACATGCCCACGACGACCTTCCTGGTCTCATCCATCATCAAGACCCCCACCGCAAGGCCCAGCGGGATACACCAGAACTCCAGCGGAATAGACGCGGTGTTGAACAAGGACTGCAGGCCGGGTTCTTCCGTCACGAAGATGGCGATGGCCAGCGACACCAGGATCGCCAAGGGCAGCCACAGGTTGCGCTGCTTCTTGCGGAGAGGGTCGGCCTGCAGGATGGACCGGCGCTTGTTGCGTACGGAGAGGATGTTGCCCCACTGCATGATCACCAGCGAGACGAAGTAGACACTCTGGCCGACCGCGTTGAAGTGGGCCAGCTCCGCCTCGGTGTAGCCGTAGAAGCCGTCGGCGTACTTCCCGAAGGCGAAGACGAGGGCGTGGAAGGGGATGCCCGCGTGCTTGTACATGTACAGGAAGAACATGGCGTGGGCGCTGACGGCCTCGATGACGCCGATGAACAGGTACGCCTGGCCGTAGATCTTCAGGTTGATCAGGTGGTCGGTCTTGTGGTTGCGGGGTGGGATGCTGAGCAGGTCGAACTCCTCCTTCTCCATGATCAGCGACAGCGACAGGAACAGATCCGTGAAGACGCAGACGATGATCATCAGGAACGAGCTGAGCGGGAGCGGCACGCCGAAGAACACGTTCATGACCACCGGCCAGATCTCCGACCAGCTGCCCGCCGGGAGCAGGTAGGCGATCACCTTCTGCAGGTTCTGGAAGACCAGCCGGCCCAGCCGGATGGCGTCGATGATCGAGTCGAAGCGATCCATCAGCACGAGGTCCGCCGCCTCGATGGCCACGTCGCTGCCGGAGACCACCGCGATCCCGACGTCGGCCGCGCGCAGCGCGGGGGCATCGTTGACTCCGTCGCCCGTCACTGCCACCACGTTGTCCCGGGCCTTGAGCTCCTCGACGATGCGCAGTTTCTGCTCGGGTGTGGTGCGTGCGAAGACGACCTCCTCGTACTGGCAGATCGCGGCCCATTGGGCCTGGTGTAGCGCGGGGATCTGCGACCCCTCCACCAGCAGGCTCCGTCTCGAGTGTTTCGTGGACGACGCCCCCTCGTCCCCACCACCGTCTGCAGACCACGCTTGCAGGTCGGAGACAGTGTCCGGCTCGGCCGTGCCAGTGAAAATGCCGATGTCTCGGGCGATGGCGGCCGCAGTCAGGCCGAAATCACCGGTGACCATGAAAAAGCGGATGCCGGCGCGGCGACAGGCGGCAACCGTGGCCGGGATCTCGGGGCGAGCAGGGTCGACGATGCCGAAGATGCCGACAATGGTGAGATCTTGCACTCCGCGGGCCAGGATCTCGTCGTTGAAGTCATTCGTGCCGACTGCCGCCGTGGGGATGTAGTCCTTCTGACACAGCACGATCACGCGCTGGGCCCGACGCGAGAGTTTCTGCTGAAAGGCCGAGAAGGATTCGCGGGCGGCGGCGTCCATGGGCTTGGGGAATCCGTCTCCGGACAGGTACGATGTACAATGCGGCACGAGAACATCGGGCGCCCCCTTGACATAGACCAGACAGCGCGTAGGGAACTGGGGAGTTTTGTGTACCGTGAGCATCCATTTGTTTTTCGAATTGAACGGGATCTGGTGGACGCGTTCGTACTCATGCAAGCCGGCACTGCCGTGCGGCCGCAGCGTCTCGACCCAGCGGAGCACAGCAGCGTCAGTGGCATTTCCATTCACCGTCCGCTCGTTGATGGGCAAGTCTATGGTCTCTTGGTCGAAGAAAGCATCGTTGCACAGGGTGGATCCTCGCACTAGAGGCTCCAAGGCAGTTGGGATCGGAATCGACTTTTCCTGGCCGCTTTTCAGGGCCTCCATGTCAAACTCCTGGTCAACCAACCCCAAAGACTGGACGAACATCTTGTTCTGGGTGAGAGTGCCCGTCTTGTCGGAGCAGATGACATTGACGCAGCCCAGGGTCTCGACCGTAGCTAACCCTTTGGGTAGGATGTGGTTCGCCTTCATGCGTTTGGCCACAATCATCAGGGTGAGAGCGACACCCACCGGCATGCCTTCGGGGATGAAAGCCACCACACAGCCCATCACGTCGTTCAGCATTTCTACGACGTTCATGAAGCCGGGCTGGTCCACGCGAAGCCATCCCACCCAGGTGAAGAGAATCGCGGCCGCCAGAATGACAGTCAACACCACGATGATGCGCACGAAGCGGGAAATCTCTTTCTGGATGAGCGTGGGCTTCTCCTTGACGGTGGCGGTGATCGAGGCCAGCCGGCCCATCACCGATCGGCCGCCAGTCAGGACCACGACACCGACAGCATTGCCGTTGGTGACACTGGTGCCCATGAGGGCGATATTGCGCGTCTCGAGGAAGTTCTGGTCCGTGGCATCGGTCGCTCCCTCGACCTCGTCAGACTCCCCCGTGAGGATGGACCGGTCAAATCGCACATCGCCAGAGCTGCGAATGATGCGCATGTCGGCGGGAACCTTGTTGCCAATGGAGATGTGGACCAGATCGCCCGCAACCAAGTCCGCGGCCGGCACTCGAACAAGATTTCCGTCCCGCATGACCATCGCATCGGAGGGCAGGAGCCCCAGGATGGAGTTCATGACCCGAGAGGTGGACCAATCCTGGAAGGCGGAGAAGGAGGCTTGCAAGGCAATGACGATGATGACCAGGATGGCCATGGCGAGGTTGGTTACCGACGGAGGGTTGCTCAACGGCTGCCAGCAGAGGAAGAAGATGATCACACCAATCCACAGCACCGAGCAGAAGCCACCAAAGACGTACCAGAAGACCTTCTTGAAGTAGTTCTCACCGTGGTGGGCGACGGCATTCTTGCCGTCCCGCTGCAGACGAGTCTGGGCTGCATCGGCGCTCAACCCTTGGTTGGCGTCGACATTGAGGTGTTGGCATAGTGTCTCGGTGGACAGGAGATGGAAGTCCAAGCCTTCGAAGTAATCTTGGTCCGGCTTCTTCTCCTTCTCGCCGCGAGCCTTGAGGACCTCTTGAGTTGCAGCCTGGGATTCGGATATCTGGAAGGAGATGGTACGGAATTCGATGGGAATGCCAGCCTCCGGAGATGATTGGGAAATGCTGCGGGCACTGCGGACGGTATCCCGGCTTCGAGACCGCGTCACATTGTAGATCGACCGGTTGTTGGTGGCGGGATGAGTCTCGTTGTCGAAGTTGATGGAGTGAAACTGCGTTGCTCGACTTCTGCCATTGGGGCTGTGGCCATCGGATTCCAAGTCCGACTCTAGGGAGGTCCGAGGCTTGTCATCCGAGACAGCACCGCCTGCAGGAGAAGAGGACATGTCTGTGAGAGCCGAAGTAATGGGGTTGGGGCGATGCAAGGGAGGTATCACAAAGCACGCACAGCCAGCGTAGGTCAGGGCAGCACGCACGTCTCACGTTTCAAGAGATAGATAATGGTAGGTTGGGTGGGTTACTGTGCAGTGAATGGCAATGCAGACGACTGCAGTATTTATTTCCATCGGGGCAGCCATGACAGAAGCTCTTCGACATCGCCAAGAGCACCGTGATAATGAGGGCTAACCATGATGGCAAATGAAGAAGGGGAGACAGCTTCCGCCGATAGATTTTGCTCGCACTGTTCTCTCTTGCCTTCTTACTGTACCCTAAGAGTTCCCTAGCGAGTGGAGGAGAGGCTCTTCCGGAAATCCCTCATACCAAGCATGTGGATCTCCGATAGCCCTACTCTGGCTGGGGTGGATCGGGGGGGTGTTTGTTCGTCCGACGACCCTTTTCCATATAACCTTAGGTAGGTTGGTCTGTGCTTTTCCCCCTGCTGCACATTCCGGAGAAGCTTGGCATGTACGATCGTAGAATCCCATAGTACCTGAATTATAAGGCTGGGATGTATATGGCACGAAATTCCACGATTCAGCAGATAAAGCTTCCAAGCAAGTGTCCCAGAGCCTCAGCCTGATCCCTTCAAGGATTTTTCGAGATCCTGAAGCAGTGTTGCCTTCACCGAGATAGAAGCCCTGAGGGAATTTCTCTGGCCAGTCAGCATGTGGAGCAGAGGATCGGTGCCTCTTTGGCAACGACCAGCCTACTCAATCGCTCAAACTAATCCCGCGTACAAAATCCCCCATCAGGCCAGATTGATGCGGCATTTGTCGTGGTTCGGATCTGAATAGGGCGACCTTTCGACTTTTTGCTGGCAGCATCTCCGCCACGCGCGTCCAGCAGAGAGAGGGACCTTGGACGAGCGGCTGCAGGAGTACGAGTACTAACGGGCTAAGACGCCCGTCAGGCATAAACTTATAAGTGCCTTAGGCATACAAGGTCCCAAAACATATATGTAGTTTGAAGTAAAACCCCTCAAGGTCTTTTGCCTAATATTCCCTTCTAGGGTAATCTGGGATTGCTTAGGGATATTTAGAATCTGTTCGTTCATAGTCCTTCGGTGAGGCTCTAAATATTGCTTGAATTAGTACTCCGTACTCCGTAGTGGAAGGAACTAGCTACAGCTAACTACTGTAGTGTTGATAATTTCTCGCGTCATGTGACCCAGTAGTCCGAGACCACACACACCGACATGTACTTCTGGCTACTAGCCAGTAGGCAACAAGAAGCGCTAATTTGAATCTACTGTGTAAAGTGGAAAGGGAAATTGGCTACTAGGTAAGTTAATTTCCGCAGCAATCCAGTTCATTCGTCTTTCAAGTCCATAGATTATGAATGTGACCATAAAGGCAAAGATCAACACCACCTTAACCCAAGCTGATCCATCGATGATGTCACAGCACATCTGCAGCAGCACGACTATTGGCTCGTGGGGAGTATTTCTCCCGCGGCTAAACTGCGATTGACAGGCACAGTCCGGTTTCTCTGCTCTTCTCGACACTTCCAACTCGCCTTTGCCTTGATTGTTGTCGACCAGGGCCCCATGTTCTGGAACGCTCGATGCGAGATGGAGAGTATGTACCGCCTGTACTTGGTATGTATCTGTATGTCTGTACTGTACATGACCGCCCCTCACATCGCTGCATGCACTGGGTCAGTTCATCCTCAAGCGTAATTTAGGAGAATACTTCCAACGAGTAGTTCGTCCCTGAGAGATCCATAATTGTTTAGGTGCTGGAGATACCCCCGGGTCAACGGGTGGGGTGGAGCAAAGACGGAGATGAGACCATGGGTCGCACTCTAGACTGTTTAGTCTACAGTAGTTACAGACTTACAGTACTCATTGTCGGGGAGAGGAACTGCTGATGCTTGCTTACTACAACAGTAACATTAACTTACTGTCTGTACCTATTCATTCATCCACCCCTCCATCCTTCATCCTTCATCTTCCCTGCTCCCCGGTTCTCTCTTTTCTTCCCCCTCTCCTCAAACATCCTACATACATTATTCGTACAACACAACAAAACACCTCCCTGCAGCTTTGCTGGCTGGCTGGTAACTCATCCCACCAATCGCTGGCCATTTTTCATCTTTGTTTCCATCACTTCTGCGCCGATAGAAGAGTCCGGAAGCGTCTAAGCAGCCCCTCGAGAGCGCCACAGACGTGACCGAACAGGCCGAGGCACTCCCTTAACACTAGCGGCCGATCGAGATGCACCTTTGTCAAGCTGTCATACAACCGCCCTGACGATAAAACCTCTTCCCCCTTGAACCTCGCCACTGACATTATTCTTCGTTCATTGCGCTGTATTTGCATCATCATCATCATCACCATCAGTATTCCAGTATCCATCCTCCATCAACAAACCTCCTCATCGTCTCCATCCGTACAGTACTCTTGCAGTACACAAACTGCCTTTCCCCGATCGGATCTACCAAACCCACGGTCATGGCCGAGTTCATTCGCTCGCAGATCCTGGGAACCACCTTCGAAACCACAAACAGGCAAGAATCCCCGCCGATGTTTTTCTTTTCTAAAAACCTGGTAGTAGTACCTAATAGTTGGACGAACCGCTCCCCCGCAAGCTAAACTTTTAATTTCTCTAGATATGCGGACCTTCAACCGGTCGGACTTGGGGCCTTTGGGCTTGTCTGGTATTGGCTCCCCTGCTCCCATACGTTCCTATAGTATCCTGCTGGTAAGAAGCAAAAAAGGGAATGGGGCACATGGGCTGATCCAAAAATAAATCCTGCAGCTCCGCAAACGATCTCATCGCCCGCCAACCAGTGGCCATCAAGAAGATGATGAAGCCCTTCTCGAACCCCACGATCGCTAAGCGCACGTATCGGGAAGTCAAGCTGCTCAAGCATTTACGTCATGAAAATGTATGCTGGTGTTCCGGATCTTCCTTCCCTTCTTCGCTTTCGCATGCTAACGCGTTGCTACACAAGCTCATTGGCCTGAGTGATATCTTCATCTCCCCGTCCGAGGACGTGTAAGTGGGACCCCGAAACTCACATCACCACGTGGGAACAGATCAATGTGGAGATACTGACAGGGAAGATCAGGTACCTTGTCACCGAGCTCCTGGGGACCGATCTGAATCGACTCCTCACTTCCAAGCCCCTCGATGGCAAGTTTGTACAGTACTTCACGTATCAGCTTCTGGTAAATATCCTCGGGTTGTGCTGCATCTTACTCTTGCTAATGAAGACTAGCGGGGACTAAAATACATTCATTCGGCTGGGGTCATCCATCGGGATCTCAAGCCTGGTAATCTCCTGATCAACGAGAACTGTGACTTGAAGATCTGTGACTTCGGCCTGGCTCGAGTGCAAGAGCCCCAGATGACGGGCTATGTGTCCACGAGATACTACAGAGCGCCGGAGATCATGTTGACTTGGCAGAGATACGGCAAACAGGTCGACATTTGGAGTGCCGGCTGCATTGTTGCTGAGATGCTGCGTGGAAAGCCCTTGTTCCCCGGCAAGGACCACATCAACCAGTTCTTCCTGATCACGGAAGCGCTGGGAAGCCCACCGGATGAAGTGATCCAGAGGATCAGCACGAAGACAGTAAGCTAGTCGAGTGACCAAGGTTTGGCTCAGGCTCTAACATCTCCCAGACTTTGCAGATCGTCCAGTCCCTGGGCAAACGCAAACCTCCTGTGTGGGCATCCCTGTTTCCCGGAGCCGATGCGCAAGGTGAGTACACCAGTAGACAAACCTAAGGGACTGAGATCTAACAGGTTGTAAATAGCCGTTGATCTGCTCTCCAAAATGCTCGTGATCGATCCCGACAAACGCATATCCGCTGAGGAGGCTTTAGAACATCCATACCTAGCTGTTTATCACGACCCTAACGATGAACCGGTCGCAGAGACTATGTTTGACTGGTCATTCCAGGATGCCGTCCATTCCATTGATGAGTGGAAGATTATGATGTATGTTCAAAGGTTATCTGCGGCGTACCTTGGACCGACTGACATGAACCATAGATACTCCGAGGTGGTTGATTTCCACGACCTTGGTCCAACGGGACAGTCTACTGTCGACCCAGGCGCATCTGCTGATCTGGCATTTGGTATTGATGGTGCAGCTGGTCTAGGCCCCCAGCCAGTTGATGGCATATACCAGACTGCTGTCGACAATATTGACCAAGACATCCTGCAATACCTGCAGATTTAGCCCATGCCATCTATTGGTTCATTCACATGAAAGCGAAAAGCAAGGGAGAGAAGGTACAGGTAGTATCTATCACAGCACTGTGTGCAAAAATTCCTGGAGCAGGTGACATCATGACGCACATGTTCCTTCCAAAAATACTCACCTCCGATAGTAAGGAGGTCAACTAACCCCGCCCCTTGCCCCATTTGCTTTTCGATCACATGAACCTCGAACCACATTTACCTACCTATTCCAAGAGCCTTCAACCCATCGCTACCCCATCCCTCTGGGCTGTTCATACACTCGGCACAGCCGCAGCGAGAAATGCCTACATTGCTGCACCCTCCGACGTGAGCTACCTTCCTTCTAGCATCTATCCACCTACCTCGACACCATCGCAGCATTGCATACGCAGACTACCTATCAGCCCATAAGCTCCTCTCACATCCACTACCTTCGACAATCCCACGGTCTACGATCCAGACTCTAAAATGAATGAAATGCTTGCAATCTGGTCAATCATAATCAGCCTCCTCTGCCATATCACCTACGCATTCCCATCACTCAAAGGATCCACAATCAATTCGACAACTGCCTGGCAGATCTCACTGTACCAAAACAAACGATGCACCGGCCAGACCACATACTTCTCTGGGAACACCAGTCTACCATGTCACGATGCTATTCTGAACGGCGGTGCATTGGGATACATCGTGCAAATCGCCAAAGGCTCAAACTGTTCGGTTGCGTTTTCCAGCGATACCCAGTGCAGCCAGATCAATAGCACCACCGTCCATCTCAATTCGACGGCGTCGACGTGCCAAGTTATGAGGATCCAGGATCAAGAGATGCAAATCCGGCGCTTTTCTGTCAACTGTGGGAGCAATCGGACAAGGTTTTGTTTTCATGACCGTGTATGAAGTTTCTTGATGCAGCGTTGCGCCGTCGTTCTTTGTAGCTATTCTTATTGCAGTGGGAATGAGATAATATCTTTCTACCTGGACGCTGATGCTTGCGCCATTTGAACTTATCGTGTTTCTATGCAATATCCTACATTTGATGGCTAACCGGGTTAGATATACGGGAATACTACCGAGCATATGCATGCGAGATCAAAAACCGCGATCGAACATTCTCTGATATACACATATAAGAACTGGTCAGGACACCGTCCCACTGTTATCCGCGCAAGAAAACACCCCATCCACGCTTCCATCTCTATACGCCTCCTGGATCTGGACCACAACACCATATGTTCCCCCGACCATCATGAACAACCCCAGCAGCACCAATCCAACATGCACTGCAATCAACCCCACTCTCGTCCACCTCTTGTACCACGATTGCCCATCCTCCTCGCCCCGATCCCCTCGACCACGGTAAACATTAACATACAACCAACAGATCCCGGGCAAACTGATTGCCAAGGGCGCGAACCCCAACGCCCCGACCAAAGCTAACACATATGTGAACACCGGGATGGCACTAGCCAGTACCCACGCTATGGCCGCCATACCCACAACGCATGCTAACCACGTACCCCAGTGCACAGGGGTGTTAGCCTGGAGGTGCCGTCTCCGCTGCGGGGAGCCGCGCAGCACCCGGACGAAGAGATACTTGGCCGCGACGTGGACGTACAGCGCTCCGCTGACCAGCAATCCCGGAAGAGCGATGCCATACGCCACCCGCTTGAGGACGGGACCTGCACTGCCCAGCGCCGGCGAGGCGACCCATTTCCCGCAGTAGTGATACAGGACCAGGCTGAAGGTCAGGTAGCTGGCGGTGACGAAGCTCATGCACAGAGCGACGGCTTTCCGGTAGGCCCGGGCGGTGGGCGGGCGCATCTCCGCGATGACGGGGAGAAATGCTGAGGTCGCCGATGAGGAGACGAAGATGGTCGATGAGGCGGTTATGCCGGCGGCGAAGGTCGGGTGGCCGACTAGGTGGTAACCCAGGTCGAATAGGCCTTCTTGAGGCGCCGCTGACGGTCGGTCGAGGGTGGTTACTCCAATGCTTTTTTCGAGTGTGTTAGTCATGTTATAAAATGAGATGGGCGTGGGCCAGAAGGCAACAGGAAAGGGATAAGACCTACACGATGATGAATACCGCAGCGAGGATGCTGAAAAACCCGACCCAGGTCAACCACCCAATGTGGGAGAACTTCCGCACACTGGCGCAGAGGGCGATGATGATGGTGGCAATCACCGAGAACCACACCGTGCACAGCGAGTGCAGCGACAGCGCGTTGAAGGCCGCCGATACCCCGATCACCCCTGAGGCTGCCGTGATCACATAGGTCATGACGAACAAGAACCCTACCACCTCTCGGAAGATCGGACCCCCCATCAACTGCGCCATGTCGGCGACCGTGTGGCATTGTGGGTAGCGTTCTCGGAAATCACCGAGCACGAGGGCGCCATACGTGTTGAGACCGCACCAGCCGAGCACGTTGAGGGCCCCGGGGACGGCGCCTAGGTCGTACATGACCGAGGGAATCGAGAGGATGCCGGTCGCGAAGAGCACTGTGTATCAACTCTTGGTTAGTGAGTGATCTCGATGGATGTTTGGGGTAAGGGGGAACGAACTCTTCAGAAAAATGGCTGATGCCCGGATCCAGCTCACGGTCCGAAAGTCCACTTGGCCTTCGCTTTGTTGGAAGACTTCTTCAAGCCCGTCATTATTGGATTTGATGTGCTCGGTGTCTGCGACGACAATGTCTTCACCAGGCATCGCTGGTGAAATTTTGATGTCTTTGCCCTCGTTTGTCATCGTGGTTGAATCTCAACTGA